CTCGGAAACGTGGAAACCTGGTTAAATCATGAGTCATGAACATATGTGGGGAGAGAAGACATCTGCCCTCCTTCACTGGCTCCTGATAACCCAGGAGATCAGAACCCAAAAGATGCTTGTTTGCGTCTCACTGTGTAAGGGGGGAAATGGGGGATGGGGATGGGGGGAGGTGGGAGAGCCGGACTGGGTAGGAAAACAAGCCCTGGCATCTTCCCAGATCAGGCCTCGGAACTCTAGCTCCACCCCCTTACTACTGTATCAGAGGAGGCAAGGCTACACCACGGTAACGTGCAACCCAGAAGTCGGGGGCTCCACACAAGAAAAGCTTATTTCGCATACGCTCTATGAATGACATCCATGTGAGGGTACCAGTGGCTCTTAAAGCTTTGCCTTGAGGTAGCAACTGTCAGTTTTGCCACATTTCTTGGATTTTTGTCACAGCTGCAAAGCCCTGCCCACTTTTTATTGGTTAATGTCCCCTGGACCGTTTCTATTACAGAAGGGTAAGGATATGCAGCCCCACCTTGCACCAGAAGACAGAAAACTGTAAATATGTGAGTAGCACTAATGACCACTACCCTGGCCAACTGACCTTTGAGCCCATTTCCTCTTCTGCAAAATAGAGATGATAACAGTGTTTACATCTCAGAGTCTTGTGTGCTTAGATGAGAGAACTTATATAACACATGTGGCCACAGGGACGGTACAAGCACAGACCACCCCCCCATCTCCCCCCACCCCTATGACCTCCAGGGAGGTTAGGCCTGGATCCCTCCAGTGGGATCCAGCATGCCCAGGCTCCTCCTGACCATGAAGAGGCTCGCCCCAGGTCTGCCTGCCTCGGAATGCCAAGTGGCCCGGTAGAAAACTTTCAGCAGAGCTGCCTTTTCCACTCTCTGGACCTCATGCTGATTACTGGGGCCAGACCACCTCAAGAGCCATAATCTCCCTCTCTCCCTGCCTCCCCCTGAGACTCCCCCTGAGACTTCCTGCCCCTCTCAGGAACTTCCTTATGACAAAACTACTTTTCTGTCCAGTAAGAGATGAGGAGGGACAGAGAATCCAAAGGAAACACAATGGAAATTAACCTCCACCACACTGTGCTGGGCACTGGATGCCTGAGCCAGGCTATCTCACCACTACCTCACAACAGTCCCAAGAGGAGGTACACATGATTATCCTCTTTTTGATGTGGAAGCTGACTCTTGGCATGGTTTCCTCACTGGTAAAAGGTTGCATAGCTATTAAGTGGCAGAGTTAGGATCTGAGTCCAGATCTCTGTGACTCAGAAGACCACAATTCAGCTTCTGGTCTGTTTTTCGTTATTTCATTCAGATTATATTTTTGTCAGGACTGTAAGCTCACCCAGAGACAAATCTCAGATGTTTACCCTTTTGCTCCTATCATGCTGTCACGTAAACTGTCCTGTACTGCGAGTATGGAGACTGAGCTTTCAGTCTTCCTGCTCAGCCCCTATCAAGCTGTACTGTGCAACTTTGGACAAGTCCTTTTACCTCTCTGGGTCAGTGTCTTCACCAGAAGGCAAAAGGGACAGATTGGGTGATTCAACAGTTCTTTCCAACTCTAAGACCTGGTGACAGAAACTGCTCACATTTGCTCCTGCCTTTGGCTCTAATACTGTGATAGAAAGCACTGTGAAGCAGACATGTGGGTAAGGATGCCATGTTTGAGCTACAGAGCACTAATCAAACCCTAATTATCATTTAAAACCAAAAGTAGGTTTGTTGTTTTTAGACTGATGGCGTATTTGTAATCCACAGCAATTTTCTCCCTCCCTTGCTATTTAAAACAATTTCCTCTGTAGCTAAGTCTGTCTCCTCCTGCAACAACGGAAGTGAGGCTAAGCCTGTGTCCATGCTCAGATCTCCTGAGTCTGCAACCCAGTGTACCTTCTTTGGGGTTCTGTGCTTCTGTCAGTGGGCAAAATTCAGCCCAGCCTCTGTCTCTGGAGGTTGTGGCTGGACATCTGCCAGAGGATGGGCTAAGGCCTCTTCTCCCAAAGAGTGCTGCTAGGGTGCAGTTGAGAGGTACAGAATGCTGTGTCTTTTATCCTCAAGACTTTAGGTCAGTGCTCAGAGAGGTTTTGAAAATACTGGTAACCTGTACTAACCCTAAAGAAGCTGAAAGAGAAGTGGGATCAAGTTCAGGCTACCTTCAGAGACATTCCTAGAGCCTATAAATTCTCTAGTGCCTTGATTTGTTCCTATAGGGTTGCTACTGAGAGCTGGGATGTGGCTGAGAGAGATCTGGGCCAGATGGCTGCCCAAGTCATGGCTGGAATATTTTAACAGTAGCGTGGGAGCTTCCAGTCTCTGAGAGGGCTCTCCACACCTCCCCCAGGTTCCCATCTGTCCTGACGCCCACAGCTCCTGTCAAAAGAGATGATGGAGGCCCCAAGATGCCTGGGGGAAGAGTCTCAACTTGGGACAAGAACTGGGAATCAAATTCCAGTCCAGCTAGGAGCTCAGCACCTCTGTGTGTGTGTGTGTGTGTGTGTGTGTGTGTGTGTGTGTTTATATCAGTGAGGAAAGCATTGGGGTCACATACACATTATATAGCTGGTCCCAAGAAATTTCAGGGTTTGGGAAGAAGGGAAGGAAAGAAGAGCAGTTAGGAGGTCGAGGTGGGTAGAGATAACTACAGACAGGAACCAGGGGCTGTACTGAACCTGCACAGAGCCTGAAAAGGGCAGGGATTGGCCTAGGCTTTGTCTGACTTGTCTATTCTAAATCTCCTAAACTACAGCCATTTAAGCCTCTTTCCTGCCTTGTGCCCTCACATAGTCTGTGCCCAGTTAGCTCCTAATCTCTGGACTGCAGATCCCAGGAGCCAGGGCTGCCCTGGTAATCCCTGATGGCCTAGGGGGAGCTGCTGAGGTAGCTGGGGTTGCCAAAGTTCTGAGGCTAGGACTTCTAGGAAGCCTGAGTATCCAGCCAATGTGCCTCTTTTCTTGTCCTGGCTGGACATCCTGTGGCCCAGAAAGATGCAGAGGGGGTAGGCAGCAGCTCTGGCAGCATTTCCCAGCAGTGGACCTGTGAGTCAGAAGGGTCACCTAATATTGGAAGTCAGCACAGACCTCCTGCAGACAGGAAACCAGAGTCAGCCCCAAAAAAGTCCAGAGATGAGTGGGAGGGACAGTAGAGTCACAAAACACAGCACGATCATCTAAGAGGCTAGGCCTAGAGCTGTCATGATTGTAGGTTTTAAAAACCAAGGCCAGCCCAGTTTCCCTCTTCCTAAATACTTGCTTGAGCATAATCTGGAGAGTCCAGAACCACATGCACAAATTCAAATCCTGAGTCTCTTATATGCTATGTGAGACTCAATTTCCCATTTGTAAAGTTGGAAAACAATAAAGCTTACTTCACAAGGTTATGAGGATGAAACCAGAACATGAAGTATCAAGTATCTTGTTTGTGTAGGTAGGTGGTCCATAGATGCTACTCTGCTCCTCACATCCTATTTAGTTGGAAGATGGAAAGACAGTGTCTAGGACCTGACTTCCTACTTTGGGAGAAGCAATTCACTGGCTCCTGGGAGAGCTTCATCAAGGTTCAAAACCAGTATCCAGGATTCCACCAGGACCCCAGCAGTACTGCTGGTGGCACTTCTCTTGTTGGCTTTGAGGATGGGAAGGGTATGTTGATTTGACCTTGACATTTGTCCTTGAATGATCCCAAACAGGGATCTGGGCCCTTAGATGAAGTGGTTACCCAGAGGGGTGGTGAGAAGGAAGATGACACCAACAAATGTATCCTCATACCCTAACTCACACCCTTGCCAAAATTCCTGACATGGTTTCATCATCTGAGGGTGATGCAAGAGGTTTGGAGTCAGACTTCTCTCCCTCCCCTCCCCAAGAGATCTTCATCCACATCTGGAGCTGCAGCTGGGTCCTCCTCTTGGGCCCTTTCCAGAGGGAACTGGGTGAAGTAAGGGAAGGGAGGGCAGCTGGTGAGGGGCCCTGTGAATGGCCCCAATGTTGGGAGTTAGCAGGACAGGGAGGAGGAGTCCAACCTCCGAGGGAGGGGAAGAGGACAGGAAAGGGAATTGTGACTTCATGGCACTGGTTTCCTCCTCCATCACTGCCCTGTGTGAGAAGCTCTAGGACTCCCCTTGTCCTTTATGTCCATTACTACAAGCAGCTGTCCTCCTCCTCCTTCTCCTTCTCCCCCTCCTTCTTCTCCTTTCTCCCTCCCCTTCCCACCCACCTTCCTGCCCAGCCTTTCTATCCAGGTGTCCTGCTAGAAAGTGCCCCCTTTGTTCTGGCCTCTTCCTAGCCCATCTCGGGCCTCCCACACTGACCCTCTCCCCCAACTTCCACAACAAGCCGAGTGTGCACCAGGCACAGTGGGGTCACCCCCGGGGCATAAAAGTCAATGGGACCACGGTCCGAAGTAGGGAGGGGCCAGCCTGGGCTAGGAGCCTGGCCAGGATCCTACCAGAAGATGGGCTTAGAGGATGTAGGGTGGAGGTGGGGGATTTTACTGAGCCACTAGCAAGAATCCCCTTCAATAAAGGTTGGAGACTTTACTGGAATAAATGTAAAGGGAAGCGTTTCTGGCTCTTTCGAACTAAAAACCGCTAATCACTGTGGGACGTTTGAGGTGTAGGGCTCTGGTCAGAAGGCCAAGGTTCTTACCCACTCTTGGCCACTAACTCTGCTGTGTGACCTTGGGTAGTTCCCCTCTTTGCGTTATGAAAACAAGCTCTCATTGAGGCTGAGGTTCTGCAACTCTGAGGGTCGACGCTCCAGTGTGGTCGCCTTCTCCGCCCCCACCCTTCACTCTTACAAAGCCGTCCGGCCCCCAGCAACCTGATGGACTCCTGCCAAGAGGTCCCTTTAAAGGCACAAATCCCGCCCCGGCTGCTCCTTCGGGCCCAGGATTGGTGGCTCCGTGCAGGGGCGGGGCCCGGCGCGGACTCGGCGGGGCTCGGGGGCGGGGCCTGGGCCGGCGCGGCCCCCGCCCCCTTTGTTCGCGCTGCGGCGGGAGGCGGCGGGCCGGGCGGGAGGTGTGTGCGCGCGTGTGCCGCGCCGTGGGGAGCCGCGGGTCGCGCCGCCGGCTGTCAGCTAGCTCCGCGCAGCCGCCCGATGGCGCGAGGAGGCTCGCGGGACCGGCCGCGGGGGGCTGGCCGCGAGTGAGTCCTTCTGCCTGTCGCCGGAGAGCATGTCACCTCCAGCCTCCGCGTCAGCCTTCTCCAGCCGTCCCCGCGTCCCCGCCTCCTGCAGCCGCAGTCGCAGCCGCTACCTTCAGCATTGGCCTCCGGCCCCCTCCCCAGATCCCCCCAGACCCTAGCGCCGGGGGAGCATGGCTGGCCAGGGGGACTGCTGCGTCAAGGTGGCCGTCAGGTAGGGACGACGGCAGGGAAGGGGCGCGCGCGCGCAGAGGGCTCGGGCTTTGTCTCGCGTGGGCTCGGGGGCCGGGGGCGCGGGCACCGCTCGTGCCGGAATTCTCCGCACTTGGGGAGGAGGGGCCGGAGTGGGCCGGGTGGAGGGCGCTGCGCACTGGCCCGGCTGCCGCGGGGGATCGGAGGCCCAGAGGACTGCTGGAAGGTGGCTTTGTTTGGGTGGTAATTTCGGGCCCCTCTTGGGAGCTCTTAATGATCAGAAAATCGAATAAACAAGGAAATCCGGTATTTCACACCCAGCCCTGGCCCAGGCCGGAGCGGAGCGTCTGTGTGTTTCCTCTTCGCCTCCCCACGAGGCTGCTGTCTCATACCCGGCTATGGGAGAGCAAAAATGTTTCCCCTCATCTACCTTAGTCAGTCAGTGCTGCGCTCTTGGTCCAGGCAGCTGTTCCTGCACACCATCCTGAGAGCTGTTCTGCAGACAAAGATTGGTTGTGGGACTCATGAAAGGACTGGATCGTTGCCTTGGCCTTCTGTGTGGAGCCAGGGGCATGAGGAGAGAATCCTGCTGATTCTGGAGATGGGGCGAGGGGGTGAGAGGGCAGAGAGTTAAGGCTGATGCCCATCCTGGGGCACTCAGGTGAAATTGAGCGGAGGAGGGCTGTATAGATTTATCTGGGGCGCCATTGCCAATAGCTCTGGGATTTGGAGTCATCTCTTGACAGAAATCAGGCAGGGAGAGGACAGGGCTGGGTGGGTTTTGTTGGGAGGGGCACACAGAGGTGCAGAGCAGGAAATACTGCAAAGTTGAACCATCTGTGTTCTTTGTGCTGGGTGGAGACGCTCTATACCACACCACCTCTCCCTGTTTTTATTTGGGGTTATCTCTTTCAGAGGGGTATTCTGAGAGAATACTAGTTTGGGACTGGCCATCAAGGCAAGGATCTGGAGAGCAACATTCATTTGTGCCCCAGCTTTGTATGCTGGGGGAGGGGGCATGTTCCAGGTCTAGGGTGGGTCCTGGAGACAAATCTCTGGTTCCCTTGGGTTACAAGTGACCCAGATTTCAGGAGTCCTGGCAAGTTGCTTCTAGCCAGGGTCAGGGATGGCACTGGAAAAGCTTCCATCTATGAGTCCCAAGAAAGATGCCCCAGCTACCTGGCCAGTCCTCGGCAGCCCAGAAAGGAGGCACTGATGCTGATCCCATCTCTGAGGTTGAGGGAAGGAGATTGAAGATCCCCGTCCCTGCACTCTAGGTGGTACTCAGACCACTACTTGAGAGCTGCAGCCTTCCTGGCCCCGAGCAGCCTGAGACAAAGAGGAGCCCCGCAGGTGCCTGGTGGGCTGGCCGGGGCGGGGCCAGGCTGCTGCTGGGGCTGACATTGCAGCATGAGCCCTTGGAGGTCGAGGAGGGAGCTGCGGCTGGGGGTGGGAGAGCGAATTGTAAATATGGCATCTGCAGCAGATGGGGAGAGACCGATCACCATAAAAGGGAAATGAAGCTCTAACCCCCACCCAGTGTGAACCAGGGCTGGGAAGGAAGGGGCTGGGGTGCCCCCTCCAACGGGGCTATCCTTTAGACTCCATCTTGTAGGAGAGAGCCAAACAAAGGCCCTGCACCTCAGCTTAGGATTCCAGGCTGGGCTGGGGTGTGGTAAGATGGTGGTGGGGGTTCCCACCTGGGGAACCTCAGGGGATGAACACCCTGGTTAGAGGGGAACAAAAACCTGGTGTTCCCTTCCCATTGCCACCACCAGAAGGTCCCTGGGATCCTATCCTGAGAGAAAGGATTATACTTGTCCTCTGAATCCAGTCCCAAAGGGTCTGGATCTCTGTCAGACTGCTCTGAAGGGGACCCAGGGAACCCCATGTGCTGTCTTTGAGTTGCTAGACTGGATGAAGGCATAGGAGGAATTGAGTATCAGAAGAGCCAAGCTTTTTTTGTGTGTATGGGGGGGGGGGAACTCCAGGAAAATGCCCCCCCCCCCCTAGCTCAACAGGAGCACCCAGCCTGCCACACGACAGATCTCAGTGGGCAGCTGGCTGTAGAAGGCAGACAGTGCCTGTACGGAGCCCAGTTTCTAACTGGGGAGCAGAGTAGGATTGGGCTGGGGCTGGGGTTGGGACAGGGAGCAGATGATACCAGGGATGTACCATAGAGGATGCTTGCTTTTGGATCTCCTTCCACCTTCGGAAAATCATTTGTCCTACCTAAAGGACTGGGTGTTGGACTGCAGTCAAGTAGAACATTTATAGAAAAGGCCAAGGATTTGGAATTGCCTAGAGCCACTGCAGCCCCATGACTTGCTAACCTCCTGCCAGGTTTTACTGTCTTTCTGACTTCCTAAAAGTCCTTTCTTGTCTGAAGTGTTTTGTGAATTCCTATGAGAATAACTTACGGTAAGCTAGAGTCTAGCTCTTTGCACAGGGAGGCCAGTGGAAGTCATTGTGTGGTGTGTGTGTGTGTGTGTGTGTGTGTGTGTGTTTAGGGACAGAGGCCTGGTCTGTTTGACTAGGTGAAGTTATAGGCCTGGGCTCAGGGCTTGGGGCCGTTAATCTGAATCAAAGCTAGTGATCTATAAAGTCCTGCACAAAAGGCCTGGGCTCTAAGAGAGCCAGAGGAAAGACATTTTGGGACCTGGAACTTCAAGATTAGGGGAAAAGATGCACGGTTGAACAGCCTTGCCCCATGGCATAGGTAGACTCAGGCCCAACTGCTCCTAACCTAGGCTAGCCAGCTTTATGCACAGAGATTTCCAGGCCTGTGCCTGACGGCTGCCCTGTGATCCCTTCAGCCTTTAATCCCCTTGTACAAACACACCCAACTTCCTGGGTTGAACTAGGACTGGCCCCTACCTGGGAACGGGGGAGGATGTTCACCAAAACTGGCGAGAGGTGAGGCTGAGCTTCCACCTGCCCTAGGCTGCAGAAATACAGACCTGACAAGAAGCAGAAGAGGGGCAACTGTTGAGAAAGTTGGCAAAGTTGAAATTGGGGAAGGAAGCCAAGTCACATGATGAGTTTATTTAAGACCCTTTTGAGCCCCCACCATGAGGGAGCCCTTAGTGTGCTAACTCTCTCCTCCCTTATCTTTGCCCTAGGTAGTTTCTCTAAACTTCCTTCCTTCAGACTCCTGGGGAGGGAGAGGTACCTTGGCCAGTCCCATATCCATCATTGAGACTGCAAGGCTGATGGGGGAGGGGAGGGGACCCGAGGGACATTGCTAAGCTGGACCCCTGCCCTCATTCATTTGGATTCTTTCGCTGCAGTTATTTCCTTAGTTCTGGCCACTCTGAAATCTTGGTCACTGTCTACATTTAGAATCCAGAGCACCTGGGGGTTGGGTGAGAGAGTGTGAGGAGGATGGAAAATACTGTAGGGGTGATATGCGGGGTATCTTAAGGGCCCCAAAGCCAGCCAGTGTCAATCAGTGCCAGCCATGTCCTATGCTGTCCAGTTTATAGATCTGGGAAACTGAGGCCGAGATAAGACCTCATGTAGGCTGTGTGGAGACCTGAGAATCTTGGTGGTGGCCTCCCACTGCAGAAATAGGCCTTATGTCATCACAAGGAAGTGGAGTGTAGTAACCACAGGCCCCGGAAACCTCCCTCCTCCACCACCCGGCCAGCCAATTTGATTGGATCTCAGCTTTTGAAAACCTCAGAGTGGAGTTAGGGTGGAGCTTGGACTACAGAAGTGACAGAGGTGACACATGCGTGGCACACGTACCCTTATAACCTTGAGAGCAAAGGGCAGGTTTGGGACCAGTGCATTTCATTCGCTGGATGAGTTAAGGGGCCTCTTCCTGATTTGCCCTTTTTGGCCTCAGTTTTATCCACTGGAAAAGAGGAACATCTGGTATGTTCTGATTTGTTCCTGGTGCACAGCAGTGGTCTGGATGAAGTAGAAGGAATATAATCCTTGGAGGGAACAAAATGCAAGTGGCCTCCTAAGGAGTCAAGTATCAATAAAATGTTTAAAAGATAAATCCTGATTTCAGTATACCTAAGAGGTGTCTCTAAATAATAGTGCACTCTTTGGTAAACAGTTCATCTCCAGCCCATTTGCTTATTTAGAGCAGAAAGCATACTGTGGTGGAAAGGAAACTGAACCAGGAAGCAACTAAGCACTATGATTTCTTGATAGCTTACCCTATGGCAGCCTCTGTGCTGGTATTATCTCCCGTTGTGTAGATCAGCAAAAACGTCTGCAGATATGAGAGGCTGTGCTGGATCTGATCTCAGTGCAGATCAGGGCTCCTCTGACTCTGTAAACTGCCTCCGATCCAACTGCGAGGTGCCTGAGTACTGTGCTCTCCATGCTTCCCTTTCTTCCAGTGCTGTATTACTGCACACAGTTACGGGAACAGGAAAGTGCACAGGTGCACAGTGCCGTGCAGGTGTGTAGCAAGGGGTAAGCAGTCCACAGTTGCCTTTTAGGGCTGCCTGACCCCACGGTAGTCCTAGTCCTAAGTCCTTGCTGTTCCTTTGTGTTTGAGGAGCTTCTGCCTCCACATTTCTTCCATTCTTCGATCCCCACAGCTGTCTCCTGCCTGAGTTCCACACTGGCAGTGGGGAAGGAAGTTGAGGGCAGCTTTGATTCCCCTGGTGCCCCTAGTTTCCCAGGCTCTCATTTGCCCTTGAGAGAGCAGCATGTTGGGACACTAAGGAGGAAAGCCACATGCCCTTGCTCTTCCCTCTTAGAACAGTTTGTAGGGGCCCCTGAGAGAGTGCTAGGCTGCAGAGGAGAGATTGCAGTCCTCTCAAGAGAGCAGCCCCCTCCAATTTATCTGCTCATTTAACCTCTGCAATGAGGGAAGGACCGAGCTCTGTAGGAGGGTTGGGAAACCCCAGGGCAGGTGGCTAGAGTGCTGAATGCATCCTGTTTTCAGGAGAATGCCCTCTGTTACTTCCAGCAGGTAGGAGGAGGAATGCCATGGCCCCTGTCCCCAGATTTCTGAGTCCTTATATCTCTGTCTTTCTTGATTGAAGCCCACTAGCAGAGTGGGTTTGGAAGCTGCCTATCCTTTCTGTAGGCAGGGCTGGTCCTTCCTGAGGCTGAGGGGAAGGTGTACCACGGAGAGCCCCTGCACCCAGGCTAGCAGTGGGATTGGGGACAGGACCAGCGGTAGAGGAGAGTCTCACTGCCTTCCACAGCCAGCCAGCTGCCTGTTGCTCAGCATTCCTCAGAAGGGGAGCATCCCCAGGGCCCAGTCCCCACTGAACTGTCCCCAACCAGATGCCTTCACAAACTCTGCAGCATCTCTTGCCTCCCAAGAGGTCATGAGAAACCCCCGACAGATGCCCTGTGATGGGGGTGGGGACATATCAGAGAAATGCTGGAGCACAGCTGAGTGGCACTTCCCAGAGCTGAGCTGCCCTTTTTCCCAGGCCCCAGAGACAGGGGAGGAGTCAGACCAGGCTCAAGAAGTTCCTGGTATTGCTCAGGGCCAGATCTGTGCAGTAGCCCCCTGAGGGCAGGCTGGGGGTCCCTCTAGCTCAGGACAGGGACTGGTCCCTTCTCCCAGCTCCTCCTCTGCATCTTGCTCCCTGGCTTCTGACATCTCACCCTGTTACTTGCTGCTTCTTCCTGGTGCTTGGCTTCAGCCTTTCGTGGCAGCACCCCTAATCCCCCAAACTGTCTCCAGCAGGCTCCCTTCCCATTTGCTGGCCTGACCCTGGGCATGACTCAGAAGTCAGTAGCCAGACTGTGGGATAAGCTAAAGAGTAAGGCTGAGGACTTCCCCAGCAGGGGAGGAGGGTCAGAGTTCTCAACTCTACTTGCTGGGCTGACACCCCAACATGCTACAGTGTTTCATCCTCCCTGTCACTCTCAGAGTATGCTCAGAGAGGAGTCGGGCACAGAAGGTCGGAGGCCCCTTCCTCCAGGCCTGCCAGGGCCTCATAAACCCATGTCCTTTGACCCTATAATACAAAACCTTCTTGTTTGGGGGTTCAGGGCAAGCCCGAATCCTTTCATTGAGCGCAGCCACAGAAGGATTGAGCTAGGGGCGCAGAGAGGCCAGTGAAATTCTAGAAGGAAGATACAAGACCCTCCTGGTGTCATGGGGCTCTGGCTCTGCCTCTCACTTTACCACTGCAGCTAAGGGCCAGCACCCCAGGTTGGGTTGTAGCACCCTGATTGAGAGAAGACGCTTGTGGGAAGAAGATGCCTGGTCTGTGCTAAGTCAGCCAAAAGCCCCCAAGTGTCTGGGAGCCAGACTCCCCTGAGAGAGCAGGGATTCTGCTTCCAGCCGCCTTCCCTAGAGTTGGCAGACTGCCACAGGGGCGGGGGGTGGGGGGAGGAGGAAGAGGGGTGCTCATTAAAGTATAGATGTAGATACTCTCTCTGTCACAGAAGCAGGCTCCGTGCTTCACCTGCCCCACAGAGGGGAAAATGCTT